CCCTACTTTTTGAGCTCTGGGACAGTGCATAGGCTACTGAGTTGTAAAGCCTGATTTTACTCTTGGTTCTGTAGTCTGCACCTCACACGCACTGATGCATGTACAAGTTAATTATTGCCAGTTTTAAGCCTCCAAAGACAATTCATATGTCCAAAATAACAAGCGTGGGTAGTCTTGGAGCCATTAAAGATTAAAAAAATAGCTTGAGTCACCACTCGTGTATTTCTGTAAATAGCAACAAAAATTGAAAGCCAAGGAAAAAAGTATAAATGAAATATGCCTACAGTGCTGTGCCTAGTGAGAGGTGAATAATGGAGTTTATAGATGAGGGTGCATGGAAGAGACATCTAAATAGGACAGAACCTTCTCTTCCTTAACTAATATTTTATCTGATCCTTTTGTAATTATTCAAATCACCAAGGTTTTCAAACTGCTCTGAGAAACAATTTGAAATACAAAAGTGGGAGCAGAAGGAGGAAAGAACTGCATTTCTTAGAGGAAAAAAAAAAGATCAGAACATTTTATGTTGTATACCATCTGTCAAATTTTGCTGTGAAAAAGAACTTTGATTTAAATAAATGTGTGATTTCACGTAAGACAGATTTTATTTATTAAACAGGTTGAGGGTGGAAATGAGAGGGAAATAAATACACAAGGCATTAAATTCAAAAAAATAACCAAGTCTTTCTTAAAGTAAACACTTATGTCCTACATGCTGGTGGTGTAGCTCAGATCGCAGCATTCTACCAAGGCAAATCGGGAACAGCCACTATGGCAGATGTATTGCTGTCATGATTTCCCCTCTCCCAAGGGATTCTGATGCCTAATAGATCAGGCAGTCACTGGAATATTTAAATTTAAACCCGGGAGCACATCAGAAGCCCACGTACAGTGTTCAGCTAAGGACTAACCCAGACAGAGGTAACACACGGTTCACACCCTTGGTTCACAACATGTTCATCATCCAGAGACCTTCCCTGTCACCACTGGGCACTGCCTTCGGGGACGTACTTGAGTTTAGGTTTGGTTGGTTTGTTTAAAAAAGGGGCCGTTCCGCATGCAAAAATCTAGCAGTAAGTAGTACACAGACACTTCTAAAACATTTTAAAGTGTCATTTTTCTTTCCATAGCATTTAATTATAATAGAAGAAAGAAAGAAAAAAGTAATGAAATATAAGTCAATAAATAGAATAGACTGTTGGTGTCAGCACAAACAGACCTACCCTTGTAACAGAGAACAGGGAGCTGTGAAAGACCAAGACTGCATTTTCCATATACACTGTTACCTAACAAACAGCTTCTGAATACCAGAATCAACGTTTCCAAGCACAACATCCAGTTAACATGTATTTCAGGCCGTTCACATAGCACCTGTTGGGAAGCAGGTTGTTGATCTACAGGAAAAAAGAGGCTGTATGGATTTCTTTTACTAGTATCCACAGCCATAAAATGGAAGCATTCGTAAGAGCTGTCCACTTGATGTGCGGAAACAGACTCCACAACTTGGAAAGTTGTAAAGTAGGTATCTTTATTGCAGCGCTGGGTGCACGGGGAATCGCTCCACCACAAACGTGCACACCCGCCGTAGCAGTTTTTCTTGTATTTATACAGACATACTCATCACCCCCTCCCCCAAAAGGGCAGTCTCTCCCTGGAGATCATTTCCATAGCCCCCGCCTCAGGATCCGCCTCAGGCTCCTCCTTGACACGCCTCCTGGTGGTCGTGGGCAGGGGTCTTTGGGATGAAGGCCCTAGGTCTTCCTCGCTGTGTGTTTTCACTTCTTCCCTAAAACTCTAAAACACTTGTTTTGGCTGGGCCTGTAGAGCCAAACCGTTTCCCTGGCCTTGAGTGGACACCTGGTTGTCTCCTACTTGTTATTGCTTGAAATATGTTAGTTCTCATTAGTCCTTATCTCTCCTCTTTGTCTGTTTTTCTCCCTATGGGTCACGAGTTACAACCTTGCCATCATTTATTTTGTCTCTCTTACCGGCCTTCTTTTCGGGTAGTTAGTGTTTCACAGCAGGGATTAGTATTTGATAACTTCTAGCAATTCACAGAGCTATTTCACAGAGCTCTGTATTTCCCAGAGTCTTATGCCTATTCTTATACCTATCCATAGAAATAATAGCTAATATAGTCTTATGTAGTCTTATGCCTACTCCTATACCTATCCCCGTATCACACTTGGGCCAAAGTCGGGCCATATTTGGTACAGCAACAATTGCAACCCAGCTGCTTTTACCAGTAGCCCTTAAGGCGCTTACATATCCAAATCTTCATGTGTGTTATCCCACCACTCAAAAGAGCGCTCTCTTGAATCAAAAAGAAAACAGCACGCAGACATTTATGCTTCACATATGAATGTAAAAACAATGGATACGTTAACGTCGCATGTAGATATTTTGTTCCTTCACAGATGCGTTAACTTATCAGAAAGCTGCACACATTCTAATAAAACTAATCAGTTTCAGTCTCAAAGGTTGCCTGTCAAGAATTGGTCTAC